ATTATAAATAAAAATTATTTTTGACATAAGAAGAAAGACGTTACATTTTGCACTAGCGCTTTCACTGTATTAGATCTTCAAAATGATTCTTTTGTCAAAAATCATTTTTATTTATATATATATATATATTAATTTTCTGATGAAGTGAAATATGATATACATGTATAGCAGAAATTTAAAGCAGATAACACCTGAATTCCACGAATCCATTCAGGAAGCGTATCGAGTTTAAGGTCCTCTCGTGCGACCTGAACTCGACTTGTAGTAAATTTGAGCGGGGGTGGGGGTCTGGAAAGTTTATTAATGCAAAGAATATTACTCATATGTTTAAGGTCTACGTATTTGTTAATAAAATGAATCAATTAATCTTAAGTCATGTCCAAATTTTCTGTTGATATATACAGATTTGTATTGATTCCGGAGTTCAACAGGTACATAAGTACACGTGTCTTAGCTCAACGTCCCTTATCACACGTGTACATGTCGATTATAACGTGTTTCTGACAAGTGAAATATATTCATGCCTACTAAAAGTATCTTTAAAAGTCTTTGAAAGAGTAAATTACCTTTGTTTGGTGGTTGTTGAAACGAATAGACAAGGTATGAAATTTGATTTACAAACTTTTCAATAGGAATAGGTAGACCGTAGGCACTGGCTCGCGGAGATGGAAACAATGTCTCGCAGTACGGTCAAACTACACAACAAAGCTCCACGGTAAACGTTGATTTTAATATGATGGGAAAAGCTCCGTAACCAGATTTAATGACGGTATATGAACCGGTATATGAAGGAAATATGTTTAACGTGGACCCTTGAAAGTCAATGACACTCGCCATGTAAATATTTGTTAATCCAAGTAATGCCACGTTCTCAATTAAGGTTAACATCAACGAAACCATTAAGTATACCAAGAAGAATCGAGCACGACTAACTTCCTATTTCACAAGGAAAATGGACAATTCTAATGGAGACTAGGGTGCCAACCATTTTAAATTATCCATATTTCTAATCACCTTCGCTGACCAAAAGTCACAATCCACCTACAACCCTCATAGCCTAACAAGGTACTGTAGATTTCCATATTTACCTTAATATCAGTATTTATGAAGGGCACCGGAATTGTCTGAGGTTAGACAAATGTAAAGAAGACATACAGTAAAGGTCGTGACTCCATTAAATGGCGGTTATGTAAAATGAAATCATGGTCACTAGAGGAGAGGAATTGTGCCGCAGCCTTCTGCACGCACTTCACCGAAAAGTGTCATGGGTCCGTAGTATCACAGCTCCTGCACAGCAAAATAACTGGCCATGTTATCGTTAAATGCCTCCCTGAAACCTCCAAAACGAGACGATATAGCGAAGCTGCATAATGATTTTTTAAAGAATTTTTATAAGTAGGAGAATGACGTCTGGTCTAACTTTCCAGATTTCTGGAAGTTCGGAGCAGAATATTAGGTTCTGACGCTACTGTTGTAACAGATATTTACATACACCGCACTGGTTTGACACTATAGCTTACCTGCTATGGAAATATCCCTTGTTTACTCACATTTATGTTATCGGTTAGTATGTTCAGGACAGAGATAGACCGTATAAATACCTTTCAAACATCGAAAAATGAATAAAAAGAATACACTCGTGTTATCGATCAAGTCAAACCATTCATCCACAAAAAGAGCGTTCCTGAAGGAGAAGCTTCCTCTGTTTCATCTACGAATGAAAATCGCCACGTAAGCTGTGTCCTTGAATCTACTGAGATAACGATACCACGTGATAGTGAACGTTGTTGTAGATATAATACATGTTATACTCTCTCGGTGAATAACTGGTGTTAAACAATAAAAAAAAAACTTTGGTTTTAATACATGTTGGTGTATGAACGTTGTCAGTTAGGTCTTTTGGTGTAGACACATAAACATGAAATATTGGTCCTCCGACTCTCTCTCTCTTCTCTCTCTCTCTCTCTCTCTCTCTCTCTCTCTCTCTCTTTGTTTTAACATTTTGTGATATCAGACTACATCATACATTACACTAATATACCGTTTGTCTGTTAAAGTTAAAAGTGTCTGGTAAAGTTAAACGGTCATTCTTTGAAATGACCAGCCTTACATCACCAACTGGAGAAAGTATTAGGACAGGAATTGCTGAAGCCTTTGATAAGTACAATATACCAATCCGTAGAGTAGATGGAACTTCAGTGATGGTAGGACAGGCGAGATGACTGAATGGACGAATGTGGAAAAGGATTCCAAGTTTAAAGTCTGTAAGGAGTCTCCCTAACAGATTACACATAGTTTCAATGAAGAATACAGCAAAATTTCCCATGACTGTCCAAGATCTACCAGGGGAATTATTCTACTGGTCTAAAGATCCCACAAACGCTGTGCTATCTTTAATGAAAAGCAGACCTTTTGTACAACCTTACCATCATAAAATAGCCCTCTGATACACGGTGGTTGGCAATGCAGCAAGGTATGTGACAAGACTACATGGACAATAACATACTCTGGAATGTTATTTCAGTTCGCCGCCTGTGCCCGCTGGATGAATGCGGACGGGAAAATGTGCCAGAAAAGAGTGCAAAGGAAAACCTTAAAGATTAACGTCAATGCTTAACGATGACTTAAATCAACTGTTTTCGTTTCTTAAAAATGTATCTCCGAAAATTTACATCTGTTAATATTACTTTACTGACCTGTAAACCTCCTACATATTCTCCAACAACCAGGATATATTCTCTACTTAAAAGTGTCATGAAATGCTTTGTCATCCACTTGTCAGATTTATTTGTTGAAGAAAATCTTCTTTCGTCAGAAGAATTCTGGTATGGAGAAACGGGTCTTTTTGAACTGACAGGTACCTTGATGCACACTGGTGAAGAACAAGTCGATTGTGAAGAACTGTTACCTCACCAGTGTTAATGAAAGCTGTCATATGACGATGACGTTAAAGAACCTAGCATTGTTGTGTCGGAACAAATATTTTCAAGACCGAGTCTATTCGGGGCTTGAAGTATGGTGTTACACACGATGACCCTCTGACCACAAACTTTAACAATGGATGTGAATGCAACAATTTTGATAGATGATAAGTTCTTATGACATATTCAGTAGAAGATTAGAGTGTGACGTTTCGATGACTACACGGTCACTTTCATCTAATCTTCTACTAGCTGTGTTATAAGAACTCTATTCTATTGACATTACCAACATGAAAAAAAAATGTTCCAAAATAACTACAGATCCAAACCAAAACAAACAATACGATACTGTTGACAGCCAGAAAGACACTAAATTGCTGCCAAAAACCTGTGGTAAGTCCTGGAGAGGACGATCACTGTAATGTATCATACTTTGGTACTTTGTCTGGAGGAAAATGAAGAAAATTTGATGGAAAGATGTAGAGCAAGGAAAAGGAAGATGGTAAGGGATTTCATTAATGAGTAGATATAAAAATGACAGGACATGGTAATGTTAATTGTCAATTTTTCGAGGCAATCTGTCCCTTTATCAAGACCCAAATATTCCATAGATTACATCACATACATAGAACAAAAAACAAACACAAAATTAGGGACAATACGGGCACAAACAAAGAGAGAGAGAGAGACAAAGTAGACAGAAATAACAGATGAACAATAATTCGGATATACTGGACCACAACATAGGTTATGACGCGTATTACTCAGTGTGAAAGATAGAATCTAGTAATATCGACGGTATGGTCCAATATTGGTACTGGATCCTAACAAACAAATGCTTTCATATTGAGTTCGCTGTGAATCTAACTCTTAAGTTTTATCAGAGACGTGTTATATATGTCTCTGGATTTATGCAATATTGTCACAATGTAGTCCTGTCGACACTTATTACTTTAAAGGATTGATTAACTTCACTTGAGCTCCCTTTATGATATCAATATATCGTGTGAAATATATCTCCCTTTACCATGTCAACGTTTTATGTGTAAACCTATCTCCCTTTATGATGTAAACATTTTTTAAAAATTATCTCCCTTTATAACGTCCCCAATGTTTCTGTGTAAATCTATCTCACTTTATGAGATCAATATTTCTCTATAAAATTGATCTCCCTTTCTAATGCAAATTATAGCGCATTGTGTAGTATGTCATCATGATAGAATGATGATATATTTGTAAATTTACCTTTACATATTCTGTAAGTTTACAATTTAAATGATACTTATGAGTTGCAGAGGAAGCTCAAAGAAGATATATCCCAAGAGAGCGACATGCACATTACGGAAAAACAATTTCTATATAAGAACTGTCAAGATATGGAACAGTCTACCAGAATCAATAGTATCCGCACCCAGTATAAATGCTTTCAAAAACGCCATAGATAATCACTGGAATAATCAAGAACTAGTATATAACTACAAAGCAGAAATAACATAATTTATATATAGAAAACAGAACTTTAAATTTTATTTTGAATGCTTTATTTTATACTCAGAAGTTACATATGTATATTTTTTTTATGGAGCCTGGTATAGAGGACTACAACAGTCCTGCACCGGAATAAACTTAACTTAACTTAACTTACCAGTAATTAAAGGCTTTGTAAATGCAGTTACTTTTCATTTTGTCTTTATTAAATATTAATATATGATATGACACACCTTCTTAATCACCTATCTTCATCAGTTTCTAAAAAATTCTGTATTTTGGTTTTAAATAAGTTGAGATGCATAAGTAAACTTTCTATCATTTTCTATTTATAGTTTACATTCATACCCCATTAAAAATATATCATGAAGTTCTATGTCTATAGGAAGGTAGATTGAAAATCAATAAAATCAGCATTTATTATTTTTAACGAAAATTAAACGTCAGGCTTTTCCAACCGGAACGTTCTGAACATAAGGCGGAATATCATAAGAGGTACACATTTTCAGTGACACCGTACAGATTGGACCGGAAATACAGAATCCAGCGGGAAATGTAAACAGCCGATGTTTTGGTGCATCATGTTCGGTGCCCAACGTCATATTACAATATAAATAGGTAAACTAAAATATTCATCGGTTAGAAAATGTCAGACACGTGTCCAGTTTTAGCTGATATGCTACCGAAGTCAGAGAAAATGACACACAATTTTCCGCTTTACACAGACTGACCTTTTTATAATGGATTTTGCAAAGGCGTTCAATATAAGTGTCACATCGTTGTCATTTATACAAATTAAATTTTTATAGCACCCAGTCCAACACTCTTAACTGGATTTCTACTTTCGAAAATAATCATTCCCAGTCGGTAGGGATATATGGTGTCCCTTCTAATAGACCTAGAGTCACGGTTACATAAGGGGCCTCACGGGACAATGTTCTTTGGCCTGCCCTATTCCTTATTTGTTAAAACGAACTCCCCGAATATCTCCACTACAGCAAACTCATGCTATTCGCTGACGGTAGTATTATCTATCGCAAAGTCTTAAGTAATGCAGACTCTGATGAACTGGAGGTCAACTATATCTTGAAGCTGCTGCCAGGTTGGAAGCAGATTAGCTAATGACTTGCCACACTGATAAATATACCTCACTGTCCGTCACTCGCAAGAGAATTCCTATTAAATATAACTACATTCTATATGACCATGTGTTGGAATCTATCTCATCTGCCAAGGTGAGACCTTGGGATGACAGTTCAGTCCAACCTCATGTGCAACATCCACTGTGATAACATATATAACACCAATGAAAAAACCAGCCCTTGGTTTTAGCAGGGACGTCCCTGGTTTTAGTAAGAGAAATCGTGAAATTTTGAACACCGCTATTAACACCAAAGCATATATTTACCAGTCACAATAAGATACAATTGTTCTTGGTGATTTTAATATTGATTTATTACATTCAATCATTTCCTTTATAGAGCAGTTTGTTAAATGTGGTGACATATTTGAATCACAATACATCAAGCCAGGTGTACCACAAGGTTAAATTGTAGGCCCTCTATTGTTCATAATCTATATCGATGATTCACCACTGATATGTATGCAGATGATACAACCATACATGGAAATGGAGCTAACTCTTTGGATATTAATTGTAAACTACAAAATGATCTTGAGAATGTAGTGAGATTGTGTACTAATAATAACATGCCAATAAATCTGCAAAAACTACTAGTATGTTAATTTCTTCACAATGCTGTAGATGGTTTTGGTATTACACCAACAAAAACAAAAATCAGTTTCAAGAAAACTGTTTTCAGCTTTTGCTTTACTTTGTAATATTTCAAAGTATCTACCATGCAATGTTAGGAAGATATATAAAATGCCTACTTTCTCGCGATAATAGATTATGCGGTATTTGGTACTCATCTAACTAAAGAACAAATTAAACTTATAAAAAAGTTACAAATACAAGCCATTCAAGTTATATTAAAGAAACCTGTTTTAACACTGAGCAGGGAACTTTTTAAGGAAAGCGATATTCTACCCTTTGAACTTAGAGTTAAGTATCATACTTGTGTATTGATTTATAAGGCTATCAATAATATGGCTACAGAGTGCATAAATAACTGTATCAGTATATATAATGGTGTGTATTTTATAATTTGAGATATACATCCAATAATTATCTTGTTCTACCGAGATCGTTAACCAAATATCTAAAAAAAAAATTGTTTAGTTTCTCTGGAGTAGCAATGTGGGAGTAGCCTTCTAAGTAAACTGAAATGTTTCATTTTGTTGTTAAAGACAGAATCAAAAACATATCTTTTACTTCAAATATGAAATTCTCCTTGAAGTCATTATTCATAGGAAATGTATTGAGATGTTGTCTGTTAATATTTTTCAAACAGGTCATATAATGAACATGTACTTATGTATATATATTTATCTGATTTCAAAATTTTATTATTAAATTTTATATATTCTTAATTATTGTTACAACTGAACCAAGTTCTAGGTTAACTGTGTTTTAATTATTTCATTATTATATGTATTGTTGTTGACTTTGATTTACTTGATTTAATGGTAACTCTTGATCTTAAATTATATGTGTATATAAATGTGGTAGATAGTATATAGATATATATAGGTACCTGATTGATTGTTAGTATTTATTTTTTATTAATCATCTGGAAGGTTTATGTGGAAGATCAGTATGCTTGTACTAGACATGTTACCCTCTAAAAATAAATGATCATTATTAATATTATTATTACTAGTGTAACCAAAACTTGAGTATGGTTCTCATTATGGGACCCTCACACACATCACAATTTCAACGAAATTGAAATGGTTTAATGACATGCAGTTAGATATGTATTCAATAACTACCACAACACTAGCAGTATGTCAGGAATCATAGAAAATTTCTGTTTGCTATTCCTATCAGAGCATCACCTAAATACATGCCTTGTGGTCTTCTTTAAAATTGTCCAGTGTCTCATTGCTGTTCCTGCCACTGACATCTCTTTCCTACTGACAGTAGGACCCAAAAATTAAACATTCAAAATTCCAGACATATATATGCAACAAATGACACTTCCAAATGATCCTTCTTTCTTTGCGTCATTATCCAATGGAATACCTTCCCTGCAGCCATTGTAGACAGTGCTTCTGCAGATATATTTAAAGTTCAGCTGACTCCATCTGTTCTTAAACCTCTAGTACTCTTAATTATATCTTTGTACATAGTTTTTGTTATCTCTCTCTCTCTCTCTCTCTCTCTCTCTCTCTCTCTCTCTCTCTCTCTCTCTCTCTCTCTCTCTCTCTCTCTCTCTCTCTCTCTCTCTCTCTCTCTCTCTCTCTCTCTCTCTCTCTCTCTCTCTCTCTCTCTCTCTCTCTCTCTCTCTCTCTCTCTCTCTCTCTCTCTCTCTCTCTCTCTCTCTCTCTCTCTGCATCCCCCATGCAGTTCAGCTAAAATCTTCTTTACTAACAAGGTCTGGAGAGAGAAAAGAAGTTTAAACTAAAGAGAATCTAATCAGCTAGGAATTTTAGTATCTAAACTCTTAATGATAATATAATGTCAGTTTTTGCATTTAGTATGCTTTGTTGATATCTGTTGTTACATTCTGACTGAGTATGCTCATGTTAGATCATAATCAATAAAGATGTAAATATCGATAAAAGCATAATAAATATAGACAAACTGTCATTTTAGAGAGAGAAATGGATGTTCCAATCTGTAAAAGCTGAATTATTTTGGAAACAATTTGTCAGTTATTTAACAGGTATTATGCAGTGATACATAGTATCAGAAGAGGCATTTTATACATCATAACATCTGGGAAAAGTTTTCTACACCAGATGTTAGACAGTTTGACCGATCGGTGTCTGTTAACAAGTTCACCAGGCAACTGACTTAAAATTTTCATATCTGGTGTATAGTATAGAATTCATAGAAATACTCACTAGCTCATACAAATAATGGAATAGTCAGGGACCTGAACATCTAAATAGATGAAGTGGAAAGTTTGCCCATCATTGAACCATAAAGCCATTGATGCCCCTACTGGACAGTTATCTCCCTTTCCTCTGTTGGGGATATGTTTGGCCTTTATGAGAGTGTTGACTTAGCACATAGTGGCCTCACCATTGTCTACTGGGAGCCCTAACTGATCAAGCATTCTACTACATGGAAGTTATTTATTTCAAATTAAAGCTATAGTGCTTCTCATTTAAAATTTACTGAATACTACTTGGCTTTATTATGCTATTCCACCGGAAAAGACCATTGAAAGAAATGGTTATTTTCATGCTTGCAGGACGATGATGAACAATTTTCCATCTCCTTACCAATTTTATTTGTTGATTTTCTAATTTGTTTGATGATTACCAGTTCATCATGGAGTAGTTTGACTACTATAAACTATGAGTAGCCAAGGCAGTAACTACAGCCACCAAAGTCAAGGAAGTAACTATGGTAACCCCCGAGGGGGCCAGGGAAGGGGTGGACGAGGAAACTGGCGGGGAAGAGGAAACTGGAGAGGCAGATGGAGGGGACGAGGTGGGAGATACTTCAGTCACCATGGAAACCGAGGAGGAAGAGGTACAAGTAAGCTGATCTCAAGTGAGATCTCTTTTTCACATGTGTTGTTTAATTTTCTGCAGTTTTGTTAAAGTTGTATAAAATATTAGATAAACCATTACATTATTTTCTAATAAAGTTATCAGTGACTGAAAGATTTATGGTAAATGTACTTGTATAGAATAATTGTGGTTGTGTGGGTCATTTCTCTATTTCATATGTTACAAAAATATGAGAACATGTACTGTTTGTTGACCAACAAGGTCGAGCTGGACCGGCTCTGATGGATGATCCTCAAGGGGCTCGTCGTCCTCCCGCCATGGTACAGACAAGGATAGAGGTCCAATCACCCTATAAAGGATGGAGGATGTACTTCCCAGAGGAAGGTAGGAAAAATACAGGTTAACATATATCTGAGTATTAAACTGTCCAGGAAAGAAGTGGTGTCTTCATTAACAGAGGAATTTAAATCTTAAAAGACCGTTTTCACAAATGGAAGAAAGTCTGTGATTAATGTTATGAAATTATCATTATCTGTACCAGTTTCAGAACCAAATATCCTTTTTAACATGAACCACAAGTAATAGCTGCCTTTTGAGTTAGATCCAACACTGAAGTTTTTCTCAAATTTAAGTCATGCTAATCACACAAGTTTCCAGTCTGAAGAATCAATAGTTGGAGTAAATTTCAAGTGTTAATGCCTTATTCTATGGTGGATAGATGCTAAAACAATGGAAATAAAGAGACCAAAGTTCTCTTATTTCAAACTCCACAAGTTATCCAAGAGTAAAACAAACTGACAGAGATCTTTTGGTAGTGTTAACAATACAGTCCATCATCTGAAGAGGTTCATCCAGTCAAGGTTCTATTGAAAAATTTGTGACACACAGCCAGAGTCATTTTGAGGTTGGGATCTTCTTGACTTCCTTACTGAGCAATATACAGGAGCCCTGTCAGATGCCATGACATGCCAAGGAGGCAACTACATTAGCACAAACTGGTCCATTTCTCATCTTCTTGAGGGACACAAGCCACCATGGGTAGGGTACAACAAACTACGCACCTTAGATCTTCACCTTTTGGTTATGTAGACCAACACTCTAACGGACAGAGCTGTTGTGTTCCTCTCTCCATGCTTTTAATGCTAACAAATTACTTTAAAATGGCTTTGTTGAAAAAACTGAAACTTTGAAATGTAACATTACAAACATGACAGTTATTATGAATTGGTGAGTGAGTTTTATTAATGAAACCTGTGTTTACCAACGACTGAAATCACATAAGCAGCTAGAACTAACAAAATTTGCAAAGGTAGAGACTAATCCCGAAACTCCTGATATGGGCAACTCCAAAGGCAGCTTTTGAATAGATATTCTGATATCACAACCAGTAAGAAAACTAACATTTTGATGGCTACAATGTCACCAATGATAGCATGAAGCTTATTTACAATGAGGTATACAGTATATAAGATGACCAGGAAATCCTGATGTAGATGAATGTGTTTGTATTTTTCAGTTTACTGTGACCATTCACCAAATGTAACCAGAATCCAGGTGTTTGAGAAGTACTTTATCAGCTGGTCCAACACCTATAAATGGGTAAAACTTTCAGCCATGTTGAATACTTGATATGAAATTCATTTTTATGCTCCACAATTTTATGGAAAATATGTAATTCATCTGTAAAGAAAGTGAGTTTGTTAGTAAGATGAGAGTTAGTGTGTAGTATACCATGCAAATTAGTTACACATGAAGATTGAATGCGGGTCTTTAGAGTGAATTGCAGTTTTTTGACAAGGTCTTTCCCTCTGTGCTTTGCAGGAGGAGGGTGATCAGAGATTTAAGTGGACTGCCACTGGGCTGTCTCAGTACTAAGCTGATTTCATTTTTTTCAGGTTGATGTTGAAGATAAAGGTAGCTTTACCATAGACTTTAAAGACCTGATCTCTGATGAAAGTAGGTATTCTTTATTTTTTTAATCTTATCCTCCAACCATTTAATGAGGGTTATTTAGTGTTATTGTTATATCCTATCCTTGATTAATGTTATCACTTAAGCAACTTCATTTCTTTATGGATTTTCATATAACTTAACACAGAGGTCAATTGTGACAATACTAGTAATCTCAGGTGAGTTTGTATTTCAGGATTGCCTGGTTAATACAGTTTATAGAAAAAGTTGTTGACCATTGATACTTACCAGGTATAAACATGGGAGATGGTGGCCTTCATATATCTCAAAAGGCATTTTTTAGGTGGATATATATTTGCCAACACCTAGATATGTTGGTAAGAAGATGGCTGTGAAAATTTGTTAAAGGAATTCTAGTATATCGTAAAGTTTTCTACACAAACATTAGTCATATTTCCATGACATTCTCTGCTACATTATATCAGTGGATTTTCCTGTATTGTGATTTAAGCCTTCCAATAAGTGACATTTACAAATGATATTTTTGTCCTGCTAAAGTATAAAAGAAATGATCTATACCTCGAGCTCTGTTTGCTCTAAATGTCAAGAAAAGAATACTGAACAATCAAATTGGCTGTAAAATCTAGGTTCCCTATTCTTAAAAAGGGTATACCAAGATTTATAACCCTTTTTAAGCATAGGGAACCTAGTTTAATTAACATGAACATATAAAAATTTCATATTAACATATTTGGAGCAAAGGTGATCGAAACTTTGATTCATTGTCATTATACTTATGACAAAAAGGACACTAGACTGCATAAACTGGGGATAGGTTACAAATGGTTTACACAAGAATAAAAATGTTGTGTGTCACAGGGATGATCCAATTTTGATATTTTTTCATTGTTTAAGGTTGAGGCTCTTAATGTAGAGAATTACATCATCCTTGTATGCTATATTCAATAAACATATAAACTATTATGAATTTAGTTATGATATTAACCATACTCTTTACATTTCAACATTTTTTTAGTCAGTCTTGATTTTCCTCAGTCTTCTCCTAGACTTCAATATTTTAGGCCACAAGCATCATTGACAAGTACTGGAAGGATATAAAATAGGTGTATAATGCAGTTTAGTTCAATATATCTAATTTTTAATTTGTATTGAAAGGTCCCATTCACTTGTCTTTTATACAATCTTTGTTATCATTGAATAGTTTGTGATTGAGACGCTGTTTCTATGTATGATATTACTAGTAGTTATATGTACTTACTCTGCGTTTCAACAGTAATACAGCAAAGGTTACCACAGTTAGCATCTGATCTGAAGGACATGCCAGAAAATATCCTCTCCTGTCTTGGTATTGCTGCACATCAGGTATATATGGTTGTTAAACTAATGTAGTTAGTCGCAGCCACTGGTCAACATATCACTCTCTGATATCCACACATCTCATCAGTGATCATCTGTCTGGGAATTCATTGCATTTTACAGACACTGTTAATAAGTAATTGATGTGACAAAAATCACCATCTCTCAATATCACCTCACAAAGTTATATATCAAGCTTGTTTCAACTTTAATAACTTTATCTTTTTTTACCTTAACTGAAACTTAAAAAACAAAAACAAAAGAAAAATCAAGTGAGATCCTGTAAATGAAAGTGAAATGTTAAATGAAACTTGTCAATCCTTTTTTTAAAATTTGATTATCCACAATGTCATACAATCTGCCAATTTTTTTCTTTATGCTTATTGATTCATGTAATGTGTCCATCATAAGAAAACAAAGTGTTAGTGACCTGTATGTGTAATAATATCATCCTTTGTCTATAGTTTGTAACAAACTTGAGGATGAGGGAGGCTGCGGAGAATGAGGACAGTACAGAACAGACAGATCCCGGTGTCCCTATGATCCAAGCTAGAGTTACCAACTTCGGTTCACCTATACCATTGAAAAACCTCAAGGCCAATTATTATGGTACAATGTTGAAAGATAATGTTTAAACATTGTATGTAAACCACAAAATTTAGTTTCCACAAACCTCAGAGTTTCTTGACTAGTCAGTAAGCTTTCGTTACTAAAGGAGTATTGTAATATACAGGTAAAAAATCCTTCTTCTTCAAGTATATATCAGAATTTGAACTTAGATATGGGATATATTAACAATAAGCCATCAATTATTATTGAAATTCAATGATTCTAAATTTAGGCAAAGTAGATAGATGATACATGTTCTCTGATAACAAAACACCTATTTAAGATAAATGTCAAGCTAGGTTGTATTTACTAGCTATATTAATGATGGACAGAAACTGGATTCCTACAAACACTACAACAGATGGAATTACATAACCTGAGAAATGGACTATGTCATCATCCTGAAATGTTCCATGTATAAGATTATTTGTAATTGTGGAAAGAAAGCTAATATGTTTTCACTTTGCTACATTTGTGATAAGAAAATTCTGTAATACTTGTATTGCTATGCTTCTGTTTGTAATGAAATTGGAACCTTAAAGTGGGGATGAACTAGCACTCCTGTAACAATTTAATGTTACATGATAAGGGTACCAGATTTTGGGAAGTTCAGGGGCTGATATTTGTTGTAACTTTGCTCTTACAAGCCATAACTGGCAAAACTGGTCAGCCAGGAATGACGTATACTACCTACTTCTGGTGTGAAGCTGGTTATTGTTAAGAACACTCTTACCTGAAAAAAGAATACTGGAACCTAGTGACATATTTATATGTATCACTATTGTCCCTTTATAATGTCTCCTTTACAATTTTATTTCATCATCTTGGATTACAGGAAAGTTTGTTTCCATCAAGGGAACCGTAGTGAGGGTTAGCAATATCAAACCACTATGTACCCGCTTGGCATTTGAATGTAACAGCTGTGGAACAGTTCAGGTATGTTCAAAATATACACTGTCTTGTTCGTCATACAAATGATTAATAGATTTGTTCAAAATGTACACTGTCTTGTTCATTATACAAATGATTAATAGATTTGTTCAAAATATCTCTTTCCTCATGCTAAGGATACATTGTGATTAACTTTATAAAATCACATTTGTTTAATACATTGTGATTAACATTATCAATCACATTGGTTTACTAATTAATGTATGTGTCTGTCAGAAGTGTGTAGTATAAATTTCTATAGAGATAACATTGAAAAAACATGTGTTATCTTGTGTCTTAAAAATTCAACTGCAAAGAAACTGTATGTCCATTATGTAATCCAAATTATTCTGACATTCTATCAACATTTAAGGTCATCAGACCTGAAGGGGTAGGCTTTCCCAATTTGTAGGGAGGGGATGAAGTTTACTATAGTTTATATAAGAAAAATATATTTTTTTTACATCTTCTACTAAACCAGCCAGCCAGTTTTACTTGGTAATCTAATTTGGTCTCAAATGGGCACAGCGGTTCAAAATTGTACAATATACGGTCCTAGCTTCCAGAGAGCCAGAAAAGAGGCCTCCTTAGAGATGGAATATTAAAAAATTTTAAAATCTTCTCCTCAACAATATTTATGGACCATGGGATGTCAGCATGTATTTTGTCAAAGAACAGCATTGTTTCACTCCACATTTTGATAAGATAATCATGTCAAGACTGTTCCAATAATTGTAAGATTTATAAATATTTTAACAAACATTAGTCAGTAGTAATTTTCAGTCTCAATCCACACTCTGCATACCGATATGTCAACACTAACTTCCGCCAATACACAAGCAGAATTGTGCTTTTTACAGGTTGGCTTCATAATCATTGTATTCAAAGTTATGAAGATCAGAATGAAACCTGTGATTTCTTAACAATCTATTAACATGTATTTCAGTACAGGAAGTGTTTCAAAAGATAATAATTGTAATTTCCTGCCCTGCTAAGACATTTTTAGACATTTTGTTGTAATTTTGGGCAATGTCAAACCTGAAAGTTTAAACTCTAATTTATTTTCACAAGCATAATTTCGTATAATTAGCACAGGTTCAACAATATTTAATTAATTTTGTTTGAACTGACCGAAGGTTTACCATAATCTAGAATTCGGGGAATACTGCCCATTTTGGAAGTTTGGTTATGCGAAGAAATAAAAGAATTTTGGACAGTCCTTTTGGTCATTTTAAAAGACAAAAGAGAGATATGACATATATGAGATAAAATGAATAAAATATGACAATGTTGAGGTTATATTGATATTTCTTTTTCTTGATTGCAGGATGTGAAAACATGTTACGTAATGATATTCTAACTTCCAGTAATTTTGTTTTTGGGAAAAAGTTTTCTCTATTTTTGGAAATTTTTTTGAGTATATTAACTTCATGGGGTGTTTGTTGGCATTCAGGGGGAAACCATACCACTTGGGGGTTACAATGTACTACCTGTACCTTTTTCTAGTAGTAACATTTGTCTGGATTAATCCCTGCAGAATGACCTAGATTGTTCATGCAAAGATAGTGTAGCAATAGATATTGCTGCTAATGATGTCTCATAGTCTATGTTACCTTGTCATAGCATCATATACCTTAATAGCAACAACTTCTTCACTGTCTAGTGTGTTTCAGGGATGAAATGATATTATGTTTTAACAAAAATGTAAATAAATATATTTATTCCATAGTTAAGCTCACAAACGACTGGTGTTTATTGCTCTCCACTGACCTGATTAACCTCGAACCAACGGTCAAAATATTGAAACAGTATCTGCAAACAAAAATTTTAAAAAAACCTGTACATAAACATGCTAGAGTCTGATTTTCAGATCCTCTCAACAACCAGAGATGTCATCTCAGCCCACAGAATACTGACAAACAACATATAAATGATAGGAATTTAATGATTTCCTAGAATCCCACTTATTGCTGAACCATAAACATTAAGATCATATTTGGTCTAGGTTAATGATGAGAAGTTGAGAGAAAAAGATCCCACATTTCTATATGATGTAGTGCTTCTGTTCAATAATTTGATGCACGCTGATAAAAAATAACTTCAACGTACACTTCCTGAAAATTCAGGATGGTTTCGCTTGTTTCATAATTGTTCTACTATAAGTACTGCTGTCACACTTTTTAGATGTCAGATGACCTTCAATGCCTGTGTGCCTCTCATATTTATCGATTTGGAGGTAATAAATGCCAAGTTGTCAAGAGTGCCAGGATAATTCAGACTAGCCCTTCACTGATTGTGCCTACATCTGTATCAGAGTATTCTTGTTCATTTTCACATGTGTTTGATTTTAGGATAGCCTCCTTTTCATGCCCTCACCATTTTATTCAATGGGAGGGGATGCATATGGTATTACCCTTGTCTAGGCATCACATCCTGTCACACCCCTTTTTGAATCAATGTCGTATCTTAGCAACATCTCAACAATTATATTTACCTCATAGCATCGTAACATCATGTTCTACACTGTGTCAGATTCTGATTTGCATATGAGCAGGGGTTAGTTTTTAGAAAGATCAAAGTTTTCCAGCTCATTTTGTTTATATAACATCTGTATACCGTCTGGCTTTTCAGTTTGAATTTCTTTTGTTTGTAGACCGTAACTTTACCAGATGGAAAATATGTTTTACCAACAAGGGTGAGTAAAGTTTCTTAATACGAGTGTGTTCTTATAGAAGGATCTTTTTCTTAAATGTCTGATTACCTTAGGTAATATTTACACTGTAATTGGAACATGCAATGTTATGCTGTAAAATTTGCTAACATCCATCCTGTGAAAGTGTTTGAGGACCAAGATAATCACTTTTATGCCCATTGACTATTTGTTCGAAAAAATTGAAATTTCCTCAAATGAGGAGACAACTGACAGTTTTCTTTTTTCCTGATAATTTCACACCCAAGACACTCCATGTCAGTCGGCCATTGTTTATCTGTTGTCATTAACAGTCTGAATTTAACTATCAAATGATCATCAGATTTCATTTATCTGTCATATGAATGCCATCAAGATTATCAGGGTGACAGATAAACTTCTGTGAGGATGTCATAGAATGTACAAAAAAACACTCAAGTGAATTGCATCTTTGAAGGCAAATTTAGAATTAGCTACAGTAGAGCCAAACATTGCATTTACCTTCATCTTATAGCTGTTTCGTCTCTCTGTGGATTGTCAGTGATGATAAGAGCCAAAAGTTTGAAACCAAGTAGACAACTCAGGAAAATCCAAATTTAAATGGGAAGATGCATTGGCCTTGTAATTCAATAAATAGTTTTCATGCGTCTGATAATTTCAGAAGAAGAACATAAAGCACAAATCTGGATGTCATGATTATTTATCTGTCACCCAGATTACATTCCAGATTATTTCATCAAGTTATAAATATATTCTTTCCTGTATATTACTGAACATTATATTAATTAATTATAATGAGTGGTGTAAATCTACATATTATGTGTGTATTCTGAGAATGTATGCAAAGCGTCGATGTAACAGGGCAATCTTACCTTAATGTTTTGGGATCTACAATGTATCCACAGACCTATAATACCTTCTTAATTATCACAGAGTGTATTGGAAACCATGATATTAGGTGTGATCTACAATGTAACCACAGACCTATTAAAACCTTCCTAATTATCACAGAGTGTATGGGAAACCATGATATTAGGTGTGATCTACAATGTAACCACAGACCTATTAAAACCTTCCTAATTATCACAGAGTGTATGGGAAACCATGATATTAGGTGTGATCTACAATGTATCCACAGACCTATTAATACATTCCAAATAACACAGAGTGTATGGGAAACCATGATATTAGGTTGTGAAAAGGTAATATTTGGGCTACTGTTATATAGTGTCCTGCCAAGGAATGTAGAAGCAAGACCTTTGTACCGAAGCGGAGCTCTGATCTTACACAGACAATTGACTGGCAGACTATAAGGTAGAGTAGCATTAGCTGGATGTAAGTAAACACTTTATCATAATGGTGTGATGAGTATAGGATCAGACTCCTTTCCTTCTATGATAATGAAGGGTTTTGTTAACAGCTCCAAGGGAGATAAAACCTGCGGGATTTTGATTTCTCATATGTATTTTACACCTCTTGTGTCCACATGTATACTCTTCCTGTAAACTTGTCATACTCAAAAGAATATCACTGCTGGTCTCTGGTCATCATATTCTCATGACAGTATGGCCTACTTTTTAGGGAATAATATGGAATCCTTCTAAAGTTTTCCTCTGATATACAAATAACATCTTAATAGACAAAATATTAAAACCACTGTAGGAAATATTGGTAGCATATATTTCTTATTTCTTGTCAGTTTCTCAACCAGTGTTGGCAATGGTACTGATAGATTTCAATATTGTTGAAGTAGTTTTTGACAGTTTCTTGTTCATAAAGAAGCGATGGATTTCTTGATGCGATTAATTCATTATGTGATTTATGATCCCACCATTTTGTTTAGATTAGATCTAGTCTTACACATGTCTGTCCGTTGCATCCCATTCTGAATCAATGTCATCTGGAGATTTTGTAAAATTAGGTTGATATTTAATCAACAGTATCATCTGCTTAGTCATTAAACAATGAAATGATGACACATGCATAGGATTAGGGGCATTCATATCTCAAACATTTTCTAGTTTTGTACAATACAAATGTTATATTGCCAAAAATGTTAAATGCAAAGTTTACTCCTTAAAATTTCCTTCCCAGTTGATCAGTTTTCTTCCAAAAATGAGATAAAATGGTCCTTTCTAATATGATTGGAAAATGGTAATATTTCAATTTCAGTATTTTGTTTGAATTTGAATACATTCTATGTTCATTTTGAGATAAGGCGGCTGAAAAACAGAAGTTTCCCAAAGAAAGATAAAACAAACAAATCTTTTGTTATTTTATAATTGTGTATGCATATCTTCCAGAGTGCAAGAAATCATGGGAGATGCACAGAAGGAGACGGGACGCATTCCAAGAACAATTGACTGTGAACTGACACAAGATCTAGGTAAAACCCATAAACACTTGGAAAACTTGATAACATAGATATTCAATAGTCCATATTGCTGTATACAAATATAACAGCAGTTTTGTACTAATATTAATTTCTGTGATCAGTTGACAGTGCTGTTCCGGGTGACATCGTAACAGTGTCTGGAGTCGTCAAAGTCAATAGTGTGGATGAAGGTAAGTCATTAGAATCATATATCCTGGTTATTCTCTTGTGGTATTTTAATAGCATGAACACTTCAATACTGTAGAGTTTTGTATCAGATTTTAAAACAGGTCAAAGCTGTAACAAAAAGAAGTATAATTATGTTTCTGCTGTATCTACAGGTGGTAGCCATAACAAAGACAAATCAATGTTTTTTTGCTGTATCTACATGTAACTGTTACAGATCAGGGCCGTAACAAAGACAAGTGTATGTTTCTACTGTATCTACAGGTGGTAGCCATAACAAAGACAAATCAATGTGTTTTTGCTGTATCTACATGTAACTGTTACAGATCAGGGCCGTAACAAAGACAAGTGTATGTTTCTACTGTATCTACATGTAACTGTTACAGATCAGGGCCGTAACAAAGCCAAGTGTATGTTTCTACTGTATCTACATGTAATCAAAACTTGTACTGTTACAGATCTGGGTCGTAACAACACATGTTTATGTTTCTGCTGTATCTATATGTGATGAGAATTTGTAAATGTTACAGGACGTGGCCGTAACAAAGACAAGTGTATGTTTTTGCTGTATCTACATGCCAACTCTGTCAACAATGCCAAGGGTAATAAATCTGGTGACACTGCTGGCCTGGCTATAGACTTTTCCATCAAAGAACTGTATGCTATAGAGGAGATTCAAAGTGAACCCAATACTTTCAGACTCCTTGTTGGGTAGGTCATATTATTGAATTTTTTAAGGTTTTTGTGCTTTTTTTTTTACAAATGTATTATATTTTTTAAATCTTAATGTTGATGTAGCAGAGCAATCTACAGGCTGAAATTGTGATTAAAATTTGTGTTTTATGTTTAGTATGGTCAAGTACTGTGTATTATTTTTCAGTTATTGCTTGAGTTTTCTTAAAGTTGTATACAGTAAAAAACATGAATAAGTCGAAAGTCAACAGGACCAAATGAAATAATCGACTTATCCGATGGTTCGACTTAGCTGTGTTTCTATGAACAGAGACATTTTGCACCAAAGATTGACCCTATATTCTAACTTTCACCTGTGCACATGTGTAAACATTGGGATTAATATTTTATCTAAAATTACAAAAAGGTTCATTAACACAAATACAGCTGACCGATCACACTCAGTCATTCGGGCTGAAGCCAGGAAAATAAAAAATCATTTTGAGAATGCTGGATAAACAAAAGATTTGATAATTCATTTATTGACATTAGTTTTTTTTTTGCGCTATGATCACATGATTGATTATCCTCTTTGTTTCAGATCTGTGTGCCCTTCCATATATGGACATGAGGTAAATGAGAACTGTCATGTAAAGTGAAAATGGTGTCAAATTAGTGATAAACATGTAAACAGGAAATTAAATGGTTACTTGATTAAAAGTAAACTTGTGATGTCAACATGTTTTATGTTGTACGTTTGTCAAATGCTTAACAAATATGTTTGATATCTGAAATGCACAAAACAAATTGTAAAATATTCCATATCCAAAAGGACAGTGTTAATATCAGAAGTAAAAAGAAGAGTATATGATTACTACCTACCTGTGCTGTTACAGTTGGTGAAAGCTGGATTAATTCTTGGCCTTTTTGGAGGAACACAAAAATACACAAATGATAAGGTAATCTAGTTTAATTATGAAATAAATTGCCATAACTGACGTCATTAATTCTGGTATCATTTTGTTATTCCTTAAACTCATATTATTATTTATGTTAATTCATACGTATATTATCAATACATTCAAATTATATTCTAATAATAATTATATTCCCTAGGCTAATATTGTACATACATATACCAGTATCTAAAAGTAATCAATACCACCTATAATTCTAGTAATTTTCTGTTTGTTCAGAACCGAATCCCAGTGCGAGGAGACCCACACATGTTAGTGGTGGGAGACCCAGGGCTTGGTAAGAGTCAGGTGAGTGGTAGGAGACCCAGGGCTTGGCAACAGTCAGATTAGTGGTAGAAGACTCAGGGCTTGGTAAGAGTCAGGTGAGTGGTAGGAGACCCAGGGCTTGGTAAGTGTCAGGTGAGTGGTAGGAGACCCAGGGCTTGGTAAGAGTCAGGTGAGTGGTAGGAGACCCAGGGCTTGGTAAGAGTCAGGTGAGTGGTAGGAGACCCAGGGCTTGGTAACAGTCAGGTGAGTGGTAGGAGACCCAGGGCTTGGTAAGAGTCAGGTGAGTGGTAGAAGACTCAGGGCTTGGTAACAGTCAGGTGAGTGGTAGGAGACCCAGTGCTTGGTAAGAGTCAGGTGAGTGGTAGGAGACCCAGGACTTGGAAATGTCAGGTGAGTGGTAGGAGACCCAGGGCTTGGTAACAGTCAGGTGAGTGGTAGGAGACCCAGGGCTTGGTAACAGTCAGGTGAGTGGTAGGAGAGACTCGGGGCTTGGTAACAGTCAGGTGAGTGGTAGGAGACTCAGGGCTTGGTAACAGTCAGGTGAGTGGTAGGAGACCCAGGGCTTGGTAACAGTCAGGTGAGTGGTAGGAGACCCAGGGCTTGGTAAGAGTCAGGTGAGTGGTAGAAGACTCAGGGCTTGGTAAGAGTCGGTAGAGTGGTAGGAGACCCAGGGCTTGGTAAGAGTCAGGTGTGGTATGAGACCCAGGGCTTGGTAAGAGTCAGGTGAGTGGTAGGAGACCCAGGGCTTGGTAAGAGTCAGGTGAGTGGTAGGAGACTCAGGGCTTGGTAAGAGTCAGTAGAGTGGTAGGAGACCAAGGGCTTGGTAACAGTCAGGTGAGTGGTAGGAGACCCAGGGCTTGGTAAGAGTCCGGTGAGTGGTATGAGACCCAGGGCTTGGTAAGAGTCAGGTGTTTAAAATAAAAAATGAACATTAATCTTTGATCAGTAAATCCATGTGAGTCACTGGTTAATATGAGATGCAAGAAATTGAAAGATAGGCACAATGACAAGTCTTTTTGTCTGCCATGTTGAACATGTAAAAAGTCAAAGCTTTGTGAGTGGTCCAGGAGATGTTACAGGCAACTTGGTAAGTGTCAGGAGAAGTGTGTATGTGTGTGGTAACACTACAACAACCTCAGGTTTGACTGTAAGTAACTTTTTTGTTATAAAATATTAATACAGGATTTCATTTCACAGGTTGATAGTACTCAGACTGAAAAGTAGTCAGTTTGATTGTTTAGACTAAGTTTGAACTGTATTGTCAGTTTGATTGTTTTAGACTAAGTTTGAACTGTATTGCCAGTTTGACTGTTTTAGACTAAGTTTGAACTGTATTACCAGTTTGATTGTTTAGACTAAGTTTGAACTGTATTGCCAGTTTGATTGTTTAGACTAAGTTTGAACTGTATTGCCAGTTTGATTGTTATAGACTAAGTTTGAACTGTATTGCCAGTTTGATTGTTTAGACTAAGTTTGAACTGTATTGCCAGTTTGATTGTTTAGACTAAGTTTGAACTGTATTACCAGTTTGATTGTTTAGACTAAGTTTGAACTGTATTGCCAGTTTGATTGTTTTAGACTAAGTTTGAACTGTATTGCCAGTTTGATTGTTTAGACTAAGTTTGAACTGTATTGCCAGTTTGATTGTTATAGACTAAGTTAGAACTGTATTACCAGTTTGATTGTTTAGACTAAGTTTGAACTGTATTGCCTGTTTGATTGTTTTAAGTTTGAACTGTATTGCCAGTTTGATTGTTTTAGACTGTATTGCCAGTTTGAGTTTGAACTGTATTGCCAGTTTGATTGTTTAGACTAAGTTTGAACTGTATTGCCAGTTTGATTGTTTTAGACTAAGTTTGAACTGTATTGCCAGTTTGATTGTTTTAGACTAAGTTTGAACTGTATTGCCAGTTTGACTGTTTTAGACTAAGTTTGAACTGTATTGCCAGTTTGATTGTTTAGACTAAGTTTGAACTGTATTACCAGTTTGATTGTTTAGACTAAGTTTGAACTGTATTACCAGTTTGATTGTTTAGACTAAGTTTGAACTGTATTGCCAGTTTGATTGTTTTAGACTAAGTTTGAACTGTATTGCCAGTTTGATTGTTATAGACTAAGTTTGAACTGTATTATCAGTTTGATTGTTTTAGACTAAGTTTGAACTGTATTGTCAGTTTGATTGTTTAGACTAAGTTTGAACTGTATTGTCAGTTTGATTGTTTAGACTAAGTTTGAACTGTATTGTCAGTTTGATTGTTATAGACTAAGTTTGAACTGTATTGCCAGTTTGAGACTAAGTTTGAACTGTATTGCCAGTTTGATTGTTTTAGAACTAAGTTTGAACTGTATTGCCAGTTTGATTGTTTTAGACTAAGTTTGTTTGAACTGTATTGCCAGTTTGATTGTTTTAGACTAAGTTTGAACTGCCAGTTTGATTGTTTAGACTAAGTTTGAACTGTATTGCCAGTTTGATTGTTATAGACTAAGTTAGAACTGTATTGCCAGTTTGATTGTTTAGACTAAGTTTGAACTGTATTGCCAGTTTGATTGTTTTAGACTAAGTTTGAACTGTATTGCCAGTTTGATTGTTTTAGACTAAGTTTGAACTGTATTACCAGTTTGATTGTTATAGACTAAGTTTGAACTGTATTGTCAGTTTGAGTTTGACTAATTGAACTGTGCCAGTTTGATTGACTAAGTTTGAACTGTATTGCCAGTTTGATGTTGTTTAGACTAAGTTTGAACTGTATTGCCAGTTTGATTGTTTAGACTAAGTTTGAACTGTATTGCCAGTTTGATTGTTTAGACTAAGTTTGAACTGTATTGATTGTTATAGACTAAGTTAGAACTGTATTGCCTGTTTGATTGTTTAGACTAAGTTAGAACTGTATTGCCAGTTTGATTGTTTAGACTAAGTTAGAACTGTATTGCCAGTTTGATTGTTTTAGACTAAGTTTGAACTGTATTGTCAGTTTGATTGTTTTAGACTAAGTTTGAACTGTATTGTCAGTTTGATTGTTTTAGAATAAGTTTGAACTGTATTGTCAATTTGATTGTTTTAGAATAAGTTTGAACTGTATTGTCAGTTTGATTGTTTTAGACTAAGTTTGAACTGTATTAAGACTAAGTTTGAACTGTATTGCCAGTTTGATTGTTTTAGACTAAGTTTGAACTGTATTGCCTGTTTGATTGTTTTAGACTAAGTTTGAACTGTATTGCCAGTTTGATTGTTTTAGACTAAGTTTGAACTGTATTGCCAGTTTGATTGTTTAGACTAAGTTTGAACTGTATTGCCAGTTTGATTGTTTAGACTAAGTTTGAACTGTATTGCCAGTTTGACTGTTTTAGACTAAGTTTGAACTGTATTACCAGTTTGATTGTTTAGACTAAGTTAGAACTGTATTGCCAGTTTGATTGTTTTAGACTAAGTTTGAACTGTATTGCCAGTTTGATTGTTTTAGACTAAGTTTGAACTGTATTGCCTGTTTGACTGTTTTAGACTAAGTTTGAACTGTATTGCCAGTTTGATTGTTTAGACTAAGTTTGAACTGTATTGCCAGTTTGACTGTTTTAGACTAAGTTTGAACTGTATTGCCAGTTTGATTGTTTAGACTAAGTTTGAACTGTATTGCCAGTTTGATTGTTTAGACTAAGTTTGAACTGTATTGCCTGTTTGATTGTTTAAGACCTGTATTGCCAGTTTGATTGTTTTAGACTAAGTTTGAACTGTATTACCAGTTTGATTGTTTAGACTAAGTTTGAACTGTATTGCCTGTTTGACTGTTTTAAACTAAGTTTGAACTGTATTGCCTGTTTGGTTGTTTTAAACTAAGTTTGAACTGTATTGCCTGTTTGGTTGTTTTAGACTAAGTTTGAACTGTATTGCCTGTTTGATTGTTATAGACTAAGTTTGAACTGTATTGCCTGTTTGACTGTTATAGACTAAGTTTGAACTGTATTGCCTGTTTGATTGTTTTAGACTAAGTTTGAACTGTATTGCCTGTTTGATTGTTTTAGACTAAGTTTGAACTGTATTGCCTGTTTGATTGTTTTAGACTAAGTTTGAACTGTATTGCCAGTTTGATTGTTTGATTGTTTTAGACTAAGTTTGAACTGTATTGCCAGTTTGACTGTTTTAGACTAAGTTTGAACTGTATTACCAGTTTGATTGTTTAGACTAAGTTAGAACTGTATTGCCAGTTTGATTGTTATAGACTAAGTTAGAACTGTATTGCGTGTTTGACTGTTATAGACTAAGTTTGAACTGTATTGCCTGTTTGACTGTTTTAAACTAAGTTTGAACTGTATTGTCAGTTTGACTGTTATAGACTAAGTTAGAACTGTATTGTCAGTTTGATTGTTATAGACTAAGTTAGAACTGTATTGCCAGTTTGACTGTTTTAGACTAAGCTTGAACTGTATTGCCAGTTTGATTGTTTTAGACTAAGCTTGAACTGTATTGCCAGTTTGATTGTTTTAGACTAAGTTTGAACTGTATTGCCTGTTTGACTGTTATAGACTAAGTTAGAACTGTATTGCCAGTTTGACTGTTATAGACTAAGTTTGAACTGTATTGCCAGTTTGACTGTTATAGACTAAGTTTGAACTGTATTGCCAGTTTAATTGTTTTAGACTAAGTTTGAACTGTATTGCCTGTTTGACTGTTATAGACTAAGTTTGAACTGTATTACCAGTTTGATTGTTATAGACTAAGTTAGAACTGTATTGCCTGTTTGATTGTTATAGACTAAGTTAGAACTGTATTGCCTGTTTGACTGTTATAGACTAAGTTTGAACTGTATTGCCAGTTTGATTGTTTTAGAATAAGTTTGAACTGTATTGCCTGTTTGACTGTTATAGACTAAGTTTGAACTGTATTGCCTGTTTGACTGTTATAGACTAAGTTTGAACTGTATTACCAGTTTGATTGTTTAGACTAAGTTTGAACTGTATTGCCAGTTTGACTGTTATAGACTAAGTTTGAACTGTATTGCCAGTTTGACTGTTATAGACTAAGTTTGAACTGTATTGCCTGTTTGACTGTTATAGACTAAGTTTGAACTGTATTACCAGTTTGACTGTTATAGACTAAGTTTGAACTGTATTACCAGTTTGATTGTTATAGACTAAGTTTGAACTGTATTACCTGTTTGATTGTTATAGACTAAGTTAGAACTGTATTGCCTGTTTGATTGTTATAGACTAAGTTAGAACTGTATTGCCTGTTTGACTGTTATAGACTAAGTTTGAACTGTATTGCCAGTTTGACTGTTATAGACTAAGTTTGAACTGTATTGCCAGTTTGACTGTTATAGACTAAGTTTGAACTGTATTGCCTGTTTGACTGTTATAGACTAAGTTAGAACTGTATTGCCTGTTTGACTGTTTTAGACTAAGCTTGAACTGTATTGCCAGTTTGATTGTTTTAGACTAAGTTTGAACTGTATTGCCAGTTTGATTGTTTTAGACTAAGTTTGAACTGTATTGCCAGTTTAATTGTTTTAGACTAAGTTTGAACTGTTTTGCCAGTTTGATTGTTTTAGACTAAGTTTGAACTGTATTTCCAGTTTAATTGTTTTAGACTAAGTTTGAACTGTATTGCCAGTTTAATTGTTTTAGACTAAGTTTGAACTGTATTGCCAGTTTGATTGGGTTATTTTTAACTTGAATGTTGAGATTAATGTTTTCTTTATCAAATTAACTTATTATTCTTTTGAGCCCTAAATTTAGACCATTTTGACAGGTGACTTTATCAAGGGACGGTGGATCAGGAGATTTTGCCCTAGAAGCAGGTGCTCTGGTGCTGGCTGACCAAGGATGCTGCTGTATCGATGAATTTGACAAGATGGGAAATCAACACCAAGCACTGCTAGAAGCTATGGTCAGTCTTAATATCATAACACACCCTGACTTTGTAGATGGTCAACAGTCATTATAATCACTATCACACAAGTGCCTGATATTTTAGATGAATAATGGCCAGTGTTATTATCACACCAGACTTTGATGTTGTGTATGGTCAGTGTTTACATCACACCAGACTTTGATGTTGTGTATGGTCAGTGTTTACATCACACCAGACTTTGATGTTGTGTATGGTCAGTGTTTACATCACACCAGACCCTGATGTTGTGTATGGTCAGTGTTTACATCACACCAGACTTTGATGTTGTGTATGGTCAGTGTTTACATCACACCAGACTTTGATGTTGTGTATGGTCAGTGTTTACATCACACCAGACTTTGATGTTGTGTATGGTCAGTGTTTACATCACACCAGACTTTGATGTTGTGTATGGTCAGTGTTTACATCACACCAGACCCTGATGTTGTGTATGGTCAGTGTTTACATCACACCAGACTTTGATGTTGTGTATGGTCAGTGTTTACATCACACCAGACTTTGATGTTGTGTATGGTCAGTGTTTACATCACACCAGACTTTAATGTTGTGTATGGTCAGTGTTTACATCACACCAGACTGTAATGTTGTGTATGGTCAGTGTTTACGTCACACCAGACTTTAATGTTGTGTATGGTCAGTGTTTACATCACACCAGACCCTGATGTTGTGCATGATTTGAGTGAAGTAGATCATTGCGCCTTATTGTTTTCATAACATTAATCTCCTCTCTTAGCATTCAGTCAATTTCATTCAAGCTTGGTAGGCTAAATGGTCATGACATGATGGCAGTTTGATTTGACTGTACGAGTAAGAGTTACTGCCGTTTGGTTGTTTTCATAATGGGGATCTTATCTGTAGATCTCGTCTTCTAGTTTTTGACTGATTTCCTTAAACTTGATAGCCTTTATATCTAAGATTTAAAAATGTGTTTTCTACACTGCAATTAGATTCAACAATTTTTAAAGAAGAGTTATTGCCCTTTGTTCAGCATTTTGATTTTATTCCAAGATCTCCTTTCTCAGTTTTTCAGTCATTTATCTGAAACTTGATAGGTTTTATAGCCATAAAATCAGTTATGTTTTCTTCAATGGCATTTATTTTACAATTTTGGGAAGAAATTCTTTGATCTTGCCCACATAACTCCTTTCTAAGTTTTTGACAAATTTCTTCTCAAACTTGTTTTTCTCTTGACATTTCGTCTCGTAATTACCATTTATGTATTTGTATTCCATTTGATACAATAAATCACGAATATTTCATTGGCATGAGATGGGCGCATGCAATTCTAACCAGCTGTGCTCTCGTTCTGCTTTGGATCATCCAGAAATCTCACTTTTGTTGTTTATTTGTACCAGTAAATGTTTTATAGACCACACAGTATTGACTGTACATAATACTACATGAAACTTTTGCTGTGTATAGTTCTATGCCTATTATCACAATCCATCTACATTAGTGTAACTGCAGTTGTAAAGAATTCCCTTATACATCCTTAATTAATCCACAGGAGCAGCAGAGTATCAGCGTTGCCAAAGCAGGAATCGTCTGCAGGTAAATATTTTAAAGGTAACACAAATAACCTTGATACCTGCCTTTTGTCTCATTCAGATTCACAGATTTTATTGGATAGTTTGCTTTGATATCTCTCCATGAACAATTAGGGTCATTTGGAGGGGAGTTTCCTCAGAAGTAGTTTGTGGCTACCTCACTGAACACAATGTGGGAGGCCCATAGTATAAATCCTTGAACTGCTAATCATGTGTGGTTTATATCAGAATTTTATGGTGATTTATGAATGTTTGATAATCAGGAGATAATTATTTGTTATTTAAAATTTGCAAATAGAAATCGTTAAAATGAAAAAAATAAATATTCGGAAATTCCTACTTTTCTGAAGATTAATCAGATTTCAAATTTATTTTCAATTCACTGTGTAATGTAGAAGGCATTTGATAGCATGGATGTTTTGAAATTGAACAGTATGTTATTAAAATAATTGGCAGTGATAAGTTGTCAATAACATATGGAAGCATTTATGCAGAATGATAGCTATATAGATTCAAATTAAATATTCTGACAATGCTTACATCCTTGTATGATGTCTTATTCCAATATCTGTAGTTTGCCTGCTCGGACATCGATCATAGCTGCTGCAAATCCTGTAGGAGGTCACTACAATAAATCTAAGACTGTGTCAGAAAATCTCAAGTAAGTAAACTGTTAACTAGTTAAATGGTAATATCAAACAGTGCAGATTTAAAGGATTATAGAAAATCTGTTTTTACATAGCATATTTTTAGTTTATATGGCTGGATACATTTGTTTGAAGATGTCAAAGATACCATTTATATACTATAAAAGAAAGATGACTTTTGTTTTATCAGGATGGGAAGTGCCCTCTTGTCCAGGTTTGACCTTGTTTTTATCCTTCTCGATAAACCTGATGAGGTAAGTTGGTTGTGCAATCCTGCGTACTAGATCGCTGGTCTTCAACTGAAATCTTGATTCTTTCTTCAGGGCTAGAAAAAACTATTTTCAGCCACTCGTCTGTCGGGCAAATGAAACTTGAAATTCTCTTGCCCGAATCCAATATTCACTCACCCGAAGAAAAAAAGGCTTCAAAACATAATTCAAGGAACACAAATTTTATTATCAATTTCTATATCAAATGTTTGAACTCAACACTTGCTTTTATTGTTTTACTCATATTTAATTCACTGTTAATGTGAGTGAGAACATAAACTTTTTGACAGTAACTACGTACACAAAACAACATCTGTGGTGACGTAATAGGGTTTCGCGTATTCTGGATCAGCCTCAGCCTTGACACATGGTGTAAACAAGGATACTACACCGATGTACTTGATTGACTATCAGTGGATTTAAATTAGTTTTAAGAGTGTTCAAGTAGATAAACATAATTTATTATTGAATAGTTAAAACTACAAATTTCACTTGCCCGTCGGACAAGTAGCTGAAACAAATCACTCGCCCGCAAGTAGCTTTGACTCGTCTAGATGAGCAGACGAGTGGGTTTTTCTAACCCTGTTCTTATAGCAGATTATACAGTCGTAACTTTTGTCTGTCAATGAAAGTATTTCAGCTTTGATAAAAATAAAGAAGAAGAAAAGCAAGAAATGTAAAAGTAACATGTATCTCTTCTGATGATACAAAGTTGTATATCTTTGTTCATTTATAATATTTTATAAGTGAGTTGGTTTTAACTGAAAACATTTAAACTGCAAGATCTTTTATTTTATCATACATTTTCTTTATTAATTTTTGTTACAGGAAATGGATAGTATGTTATCTGAACATGTCATGGCTTTACATGCAGGCAAAAATAGGTAACTAGTCTTTATTGCTCTAATATTTACTGTTAATATTAATATATGTAACACAATATTTACTGTTAATAACAATGTGTAACACAATATTTACTGTTAATAACAATATGTAACAATATTTACTGTTAATAACAATATGTAACAATATTTACTGTTAATATTAATATATGTAACACAATATTTACTGTTAATATCAATATATGTAACACAATATTTACTGTTAATATCAATATATGTAACACAATATTTACTGTTAATATCAATATATAACACAATATTTATGTTAATAACACATATTTATTAATATCAATGTGTAACACAATATTTACTGTTAATATATATGTAACACAATATTTACTGTTAATATCAATGTGTAACACAATATTTACTGTTAATATCAATATGTAACACAATATTTACTGTTAATATCAATATGTAACACAATATTTACTGTTAATATCAATATATAACAATATTTACTGTTACCGGTAAGTCAGTATGTAGCATAAATATACAATAAGTATATATGATGTTTTTACCTATTTTAAGACTGATCCAGGACACATGTCCTGTATATTTTAGTTAGATAGCTTACAGATAGTTATAATTGAAGTTATGATACATTTATGATTGAACTAAATGGACCCTACATTTTCCTTCTATCAAATTGAACAATGTTATATTGATCATATGTTTCTTGACCTAATTTCAGATCTATGTCACGAATCACAGCAAGAAGATCAGGGGTAACTTATGTCTTTGTTGTGTAAAATACCAGACACATGTCTTTTCCCACATGTGCTTGTGTAATGAAATTCGAGAAGAATCATAATGAGGTGAAAATTTCATTAAAAAATAAACAGTTAATGTGGAGGCAGGGTCGCAAAAGATAGTTTTGTTGCCTGCAATGATACATTGATGCTGTTATGCCCCAACGTTTTGGAGGATGGGGATATGTTATGTTACCAATGTCAATATTTTGCTTTTTGCTTTGTTTTCCAAATCAAAGTCATATTTTGAAAACTTCTCACCAGATTTGTTTCATATTTACCCCCATAGTGTAGTAACAGAGTTATACACCTTATCATATGAAGATAATTATAGGTCAAGGTTAAAGGTCAAAGATATGACAATTACTTGTATAGCCCTTTAAAGTTTAATATTTAAGTAATCATCTGCCAGAGGTTTTGGTTATACACCATGTTCAAAATAAATTACACTGATAAACCTCTTTTGACATATTCTGATCAGGGAGATGACTCTATCCTTCTGATGGAGACTGACAAACCTCTGAGTGACAGACTGAAGGTTCCACGGGGAGAAGCATTTGACCCAATTCCACCACAGCTGCTTAGAAAGGTATACATAGTTAAATAATTCTGACCCTGTGTCTGTACCAGTGAATGTGAAAAATAACTTAACAGAGTTGTTAACAAATACCTCTACCATTTGTAATCTTTGTTATTGCTCTGCAATGTTAATCTTCCAAAACAATTTGATCAGATTTCCAGTAATTACTGTAAAAGTTGTTACTTTCCAGAGGTTCTGTTATTTGTTTGTTATTTTTGAGGATCAATTAAGATAATAAAAAATAGATCGTATAAAATTGAAAACAGTAGAGAAAATGTATTATTGTTGCTTTCATCTTTTTGTTGAAATTGGAAAAAATTAAGAGCCATTTACAAAAACAATTGTTATTGTAGTGATTGTAAAAATTCAAACCATTACGATCAGTTTCACTGAAAAGTCATCATAGCAATATTACAGGTCTTTGTCAGTGTGTTGTAGTTTCTTATCCTTTATTTCCTACCTGTGCATGTACATTTACCTGATAGTTTCAGTTCTTCAAGAGCAATAGTAATACGAAATACAAAGTCACTTCTGATTTCCAAAAATCCAGAACTTCAGTTGGTAATGTTGATAAATTAAAACTGAAGAAGTCTGTTCCAAGTATGTGTATCTCAATAAATAATGACCAGGTGTGTGTCTTCACATGTATTTCACAGATCTTAACATGTGATTCCAGAGTTGTGTGCCTTCACATACCGTATGCTTACACCAGTCCTGTATCTTAACATGCTTCATAGTTGTTCTCCTTATGATTGTAGTATGTTGGGTATGCCAGAAAGTATGTCCACCCCAAGATAGGGAAAGAAGCTGCTACTGTTCTGCAGGTAAGATAGGAGGAACAGTTTTGAAATAAAAAATCAGAACCTGTGGAAGTTTCTCGACAATACTAATCTAAGTATCTCGTGATTGTATTACTGAATAGAGAAATAAAATATTGATGAATCAGACGTAATGCCGCAGACCTTTTGATTGAGTTGGTTGTTCCATTTCTTCAGGAGTTTTACCTCGAACTTCGTAAACAACACCAAACACAAGACAGTACACCTATTACAACACGCCAACTCGAGTCGCTGATACGCTTGACAGAGGCACGTGCACGCCTGGAACTGCGCGAGGAGGCAACAAAGGAGGATGCTAATGATGTGATAGAGATCATGAAGTACAGTATGGTGGACACTTACTCTGATCAGTTTGGGGGACTTGATTTCCGCCGATCGCAGCACGGCTCTGGTATGAGTGGGCGCTCACAGGTACATATCGTACTGCGTTCTGAAGGTGGATGTATTAGAAATATAATGTACAGAATGGTCCGAGGACTTTCAAACTCTGTTGAAACAAATTTTACACACTTTAGAACTTTGATTAAAATAGAATGTTCTGAGGTTGATACATATAGTTTTGCTAAAAATAATTGTTTTAATCTCCTGAAACCCAAAGGACAAAAATGGGTTGTTGCTAAGGTAGAGTTTATACTGATGATATGGGGACATACATAGATATATATAGTGATACCCATGTCTGTTATGTCTTATCACAGCACAGCCAAATCTTGAGAACCTCTCAACAGATTTATTTTCATATTTACTGCAGAGTATCATAACATCATGTTCTATACACTCACTACAATAGTAATAAGGTTATGGGTCAAGGTGCTAGAGTCTAAGATCACACCTGATAACTTTTACAAATTCATCAAACAACGATACATGTCTTGGAGTAAGAGGCATTTATGTGTTACAGACATTTCCTTGTTATAGCTCATAGATCACCTGTAATTTATCATAGAACTAAGGGTTTTTAACAATGGTTAGGAAAAGGATTATCTACACATTTTGTCAGAAAATTCGAAAGAATAAACAATGTATGTACAATATTGAATAACAGTATGACTGATTAGAAATCTTTTTTTCAGCCCAAGAAGTTTGTAGCAGCATTGCAGAAAATTTCCGATCAGACTTACAACTCAATTTTTACCATTCAACAAATGAGACAAATTTCAAAGGTAATCACGTCATTCCTGTGTTTATAGACTGCTCTAAAAACATATTTTTCTCTTCTTTAAAAAATGCCCATTTCTTGGACTCTTAATTTCACTGATAAATATAGCTCAATAAATCTACTTATTTTAACAGTTCATGGACATATGAATTCCTGGATTAAGTACCCATGTAATCAAAGGAATAAAACCTCCACAAAAATTAAGGATTTTACTGTTTGTGAATTTCTTTGTAATTCAGATCATCACAGTCAGTCATACAGAGCTGTGTTAGCCAAAGTTTAGACTAGTTTGACCACAGTGGCTGTAACTGTTGAAATGTATTATATTTTATATATGTAAAGATAAATCGATAGACGTTTTCAAGAAAGTGTAAATAACCAGTTTCGAAAGCGTCATGATTGATTCACCTTCTCTGATATTGTTGGACTCATGACTCAAGTTATCAAACCTGAGTATGATACATAAAACGTCTTTATAAAAGGCTATAGTTTCACTTCTACACCCATAACAATACTGATTTGGTCTACTTCTGTTACTGTAGGACTAATGATCACATCATCCTTGCTATTCATTGTTCATGACGTCACCAAACTATGTTGTTTTTACCCATATTGATGACATAATAATCCGTTATTGTTGGTCTGATGATGGTTCGCTCGGATCCAAAACATGTCAACAACCTGATGCACAAATAAATCATCAATTAGGAACGAGCTGTTCATGTTCACTCTTGACCTACATAAAAATATAGATATTACACATTTCGCCTTCCAATATACAAGAGGTTTTTCTACCCCTATACTCACATTGAAATTATGATCATAGCTTGTGGTGAAAGTTCCATTTCTGTTGGAAATCATAGAAGAGTCATTCCTTGCTAATGTTTTTTGAAGGAACTGAAAGTGGTTGTTAGTTTGTGGTTGACAGTTTAAATTTTATTCAGGCAATTGGTTCTCATACATTTTGTGTCCTGATTCTGTCTCATCTTTAATATCTTTTGTTTTCTCCAGGATATCGGCCTCAACATTCTGGATTTTGAAGGTTTTATAAGCTCTCTCAACAATCAAGGATATCTATTGAAGAAAGGGGCCAAAGTTTATCAGTTACAAACAGCAGATTATTGATGGAGGTTTCGAAAGGAAATCTCTTGATAACCATTATTTTCCTGTGACAGATAGTGCTTTATTGATCGATATATATGTTTACCTGTGACAAGACAGCACACCAGCAATGAAGGCATCACCAGAATATCAGTAAATAGACAAAGGTTATCTGTGACAGACTTGTCACTATGGTGGAGGCTTCAAGAGGATATCAAATGTCAATTTTTACCAATTTTCTGGACACTGGATTCTTCGTCATTTTAGTAAAAATATCACCTGGCCTCAAATCATTTCTTCTTAGATGGTAAAAGTTCTTGGTTCTTAAAATAATATTCACTTTTGAAGACTTCTCTTTCCTCTGACATTAATCAGAGTAACGAAATTTACTTTATAACTTAAACCAATAGAAGATTTGTGTGACTTCAGTGATGAAGAGTGATATAGAAGCATATCTACCAGTAAGTAACAATTTTAGAGTAAATACTACTAGAACCAGTATGCTGGTAGTAGTGATTATTGCTTAGACTATCAGGAAGCACGTCAATACTTAGTCACTTTTACTGATTCAAAAGTTTCAATTTGATATGTTACATATTTTGCAAATGTTGATGTAACAAGTCTTGATCTGGTGTGGGTGACTTTGGATATTATAGTGTCAGATTTTGAAAATATGATTGTCCCACTGATTTTTGTTATAATTTTTGGAGGATTTCTCACACTAAATTATATGATTGATTATAGATAACACAGTACATTAAGTTTTTTTAACAGAAATATGTGCTAAAGCAGTGACCAGTGAAATATAATTTGAAAGTTACTGAATACTTTGTGTCTCATCAACTCATATGTTTTGTTACATTGTATATACCATATAGATGTGATTAATTATTATCAATATTGTTATAAAAATGTGGTTTGTTTTTTTCATTATTGTTGAATTTATAATAAAACATTATCTTAACTTTTCAGATATTTTTCTTTTTTCTGACTCAAAAAAGTGTTGTAAAGATTCATGAAAGAGTGTGTAAATGAAGTTTATGTTAACATAGGTATATATATATGTTCAAATATAAAGGTTGAATGCACAGTGTCAGGTGAAATGTATTGAAATAACTTCAAGCAACACATTGAATTATGCATTAATGCTTTCATTTATGAATCTTCATGATCACTTGTTTGATGTCAAAGATAATGTATCTAGACAGTTTATAAAGCACTAATGCTTAATTCATCCTGTGGTTAGAAGTTATTTTAATATATGTAATTTTTTCATGATTGTCATCAATCCAAACAAAATTACAAAATGCAGAATCTGCCAAATAAGTGAAGAAAATGTAGTAATTAGATTGAGTTGGTGAGAAAGATATAGTATAGATTTATATGTACAGTAGAGGCTTATGTGTGTATATCTCCTCAGTGTCAGAAGTTTAGTTTTAGCCTTGAAATAACTGCAGTAGGACTTTTTTTTAATTCAAAGGTCAGGGTCATAGTTAATGAAAATGCATTATATACACATATAGCCCTTACAGAAGGCCAAACTTTCTGAGATAAGAGATGATGATTTATTTGATATGACGATGTGCAATAAAAAGTGTTTAAGATAACAGTTGTGGTTATTACAGCCTAGAATATACAATCTACAAGATATCCCTGAGTCCAGAGAGAGCACATCAACATCCACCACTACACAGTTGTCAGACACATAATGTGACCTATTCTGATGAGTAAATATCCTAGTTTGTTGTGATCTCTACCACTGCAATATCTTTCTTCAAAAAGCTAAAAAAAAATATGGAACGCTTCACGATTAAGCTGGTCATCCTTACGCAGGGGCTTGCTAATCTTCTCTGTATCGTTCCAGTTTTATTATGTGTACCTAAGTACACCTACAATATACTGCATTATATAGGAGTATTTGGGAGAAGTGGATGATGTGAAGAATCCGTAACATATGAATATTCATATAACGTACGTGGTACGTTTCTCAGGGGAGATAATAGAGTTAATTAGAACTGTGAGAGAATATTTTTTCTTTACCTAACAAGCTTGGTTTAGTGAACGTAAATTTGTTATTTTTAATGTTGTTTATGTTAGCCGTCAAATTACACTTGTAATTATAACTGTGTTACGAAAGCTGAATTAAAGATCAACTCAACAAAAAATAGGAAATGATACACTGTACAGCAATAGTTTGGTCTGTTGTAAAGTCATGGTTAAACGTAAATGTTACGTTATCCAAATTGGATGACAGTGTCTCTGTTTGTCACGTATCAATAGTGTTAACTTTCCTAAGGATACGTATTCGCCTCCTGAACATGAGAAACTACCGACATGTTATCCGACTGAAAACCTTACCTAAAATCAAAATCGAGTAAACGAGGACAAAATATGAACAAACAAAAACATAAAGTTTGTAAAGGAGATTATTGAAGAAATACAGGGAGAATTCGAGCAGATGTTCTGGAAGTGTGTCTTGGTTCATGGATCACACTCACCATGAAAATTGTTGGCGAGAGGGGGGCAATGAAAGGTTTTAATATTCGCATATAGATATAACGTATGTGTTACGATTCGAAGGAGGATACGTTTTCAAAGTTTTCATTAGTTTATCTAATTGGTATTGTATCAGTTCTATCTACTTTCCGTCTTTAACTAAAGCTATGACTGAATAATATGTCTTATCCCTTCTGTCATATCAACAATCCATTAAATAAATCTATGATACATACAATGATATAAAGCATTGATTGATTAATAGATAAGTAAATAGTTAGATGTAGGTAATACATTATCTACATGAAGTTCGTGACATACAGTGTCGTGTTTATCATTACTGTTAACTTTCCTGAGAATACTTTCATATAAGGCGCCGTAGTATTGTATTGCATAGGATATAAGGAACATATTACGTTCTAAAAGGAAATTGATTAAACAAATCAAAAATTATAGACAGAGCTAGTCATTGCCATACCGATTCAGCATTATTATAAAGATTTCAGATATAAGAATTATCTCCATTGAAAGTTTTATAAACGGTTTTCAGATTTTAGTCCACCTTCGTCAGATGGTAAGGTGTTCAAATCGTCTGCAGTCCGTCGTTCATATGTAGCTTTTCTTGGTTTTACATAGTCCATTTTGAGATTGATCTGAAGAAAACAAGATGGTAAACAATCCGTTTTTGAAAATCATTATTTGTTATCGTTATTTGTGGAGATTCCATAGTGTTTGTTCCCTTTGATCCGTTTCGATTGAAGAAGAGCTGACCGACAGCCAACTTGAATTGACTAAAAAATTGTCAAATACCCACAGGTATATTTAGTGGGAAATTTACTGAATTATCGGGCCAGTGCGCCTCCCTATCTGGGTTCTGTCTTATCTTTGGATTATTTTGGATTGTCATCAGTTGCCTCCTTGGCTTCAACATTTAGACCCATCACACCACTGACGAGTCCTAGAAGGACGAAACAGCTGTTTGATGTAGCATCACTGACGAGTCCTCGAAGGACAAAACAGCTGTTTGATGTAACATCACTGACGAGTCCTAGAAGGACAAAACAGCTGTTTGATGTAACATCACTGATGAGTCCTTGAAGGACGAAACAGCTTTTTGGTGTAACATCACTGACGAGTCCTAGAAGGACGAAACAGCTGTTTGATGTAACATCACTGACGAGTCCTAGGACAAAACAGCTGTTTGATGTAACATCACTGACGAGTCCTAGAAGGACAAAACAGCTGTTTGATGTAACATCACTGACGAGTCCTAGAAGGACAAAACAGCTGTTTGATGTAACATCACTGACGAGTCCTAGAAGGACGAAACAGCTGTTTGATGTAACATCACTGACGAGTCCTAGGACAAAACAGCTGTTTGATGTAACATCACTGACGAGTCCTAGGACAAAACAGCTGTTTGATGTAACATCACTGACGAGTCCTAGGACAAAACAGCTGTTTGATGTAACATCACTGACGAGTCCTAGGACAAAACAGCTGTTTGATGTAACATCACTGACGAGTCCTAGAAGGACAAAACAGCTGTTTGATGTAACATCACTGACGAGTCCTAGAAGGACGAAACAGCTGTTTGATGTAACATCACTGACGAGTCCTAGGACAAAACAGCTGTTTGATGTAACATCACTGACGAGTCCTAGAAGGACGAAACAGCTGTTTGATGTAACATCACTGACGAGTCCTAGGACAAAACAGCTGTTTGTTGTAACATCACTGACGAGTCCTAGGACAAAACAGCTGTTTGATGTAACATCACTGACGAGTCCTAGGACAAAACAGCTGTTTGTTGTAACATCACTGACGAGTCCTAGGACAAAACAGCTGTTTGATGTAACATCACTGACGAGTCCTAGGACAAAACAGCTGTTTGTTGTAACATCACTGACGAGTCCTAGGACAAAACAGCTGTTTGATGTAACATCACTGACGAGTCCTAGAAGGACAAAACAGCTGTTTGATGTAACATCACTGACGAGTCCTAGGACAAAACAGCTGTTTGATGTAACATCACTGACGAGTCCTAGAAGGACAAAACAGCTGTTTGATGTAACATCACTGACGAGTCCTAGAAGGACGAAACAGCTGTTTGATGTAACATCACTGACGAGTCCTAGGACAAAACAGCTGTTTGATGTAACATCACTGACGAGTCCTAGAAGGACGAAACAGCTGTTTGATGTAACATCACTGACGAGTCCTAGGACAAAACAGCTGTTTGTTGTAACATCACTGACGAGTCCTAGAAGGACAAAACAGCTGTTTTATGTAACATCACTGACGAGTCCTAGGACAAAACAGCTGTTTGTTGTAACATCACTGACGAGTCCTAGGACAAAACAGCTGTTTGATGTAACATCACTGACGAGTCCTAGGACAAAACAGCTGTTTGTTGTAACATCACTGACGAGTCCTAGGACAAAACAGCTGTTTGATGCAGTTTAAATAAATTCAGAAACTATTGCCGAATGAACCGAGAAAACAATTATGAAGAAAAAAAGGGAATCCTTTAGCTTGTACGTAATTGTGAATACAAATTGAGCTTACGTCATATGAAAGCAAGGAGGTGATGATCTTTTGTGATCCTCCTTCACAGCAGGAGAAAGGTATAACATGTAAATTGCTCAGAAGTTTTCATATTGTCATTGGTGTTTTATGAGTGGATTGGTGTTGTTCATGTATCTCAACAAATGACAACACGAACTTAAACAAGGCTCATTGACATCATACATATTACTGTATTGGTTTGAACGACGCCTTTACCGGTGCTAAGAAAGGTAAGATAGTTTTGTACCATATATGGACATCAGAGTGAAATAGCAAAAAGCGCCACCTACCAGAATGTGGAATGGTAATAAAGTATCCGATTCAAAAGGACGAGGGTGGAGAGAGGAGATGATATATGTGGGCAGTAGTGATGAACAACCCAGCACCTGACAGCAATATGTACTCAAATACAGTATCAAAACGAAGTAATGTGGCTATGTACAGACGTAAGTCAGATTGTAAGACGACAAAGAAGACGATTGAGACCTTTATGGAGGGGACATTGAAGAGCTATATACAGAGCTATTGTGAAAAAGCGATGTTATATCTGGTTATTCCTATCATAAGATCCCTTCATATTTCCTTTTCTTTTGTGAAACAAGGGTAAAAACAGGATCCGTGAAAGTAAGTTCCCTTTCTAATTGAAGGAACGTAATTTCCAACACTACATGGAAGAAATGACAACATATCCTTAATATCATGACAAAACCATCTTTCTTTCTGTTTCAGGTTGAGATCCGAGATACGTAGTTCGACGTTCCCTACAGGTTGCGGTTTTTGTTTCTCAGGAAGCAGAGAAACGAACCGGTCTGTGTCGTGGTTGTCCTTGGGCAAGACACTTGACCCTTCCTGTTCAGTGGGGTAGCCACCAGCTACTACAAGGAGGTCACGCTCCGAAATGACCTGACTGTTCAGGGGCGATAAATCCAGTAAACCATCTGTTTACCCTTAATCAAGTAGAGGACACGACCTATTCCAACTATATTGTATAACGTACAAAATTGTGTCATTCGAAACCGTTCAATTTAACTAAAAAAATATATAAGAACGAAAGCCTTATTTTTCTTTGTACACATATCTATTTATTTATAAAAAATGAATTATCTTTGTATGCTGACATGCGTGCTGTTTATCTTTTTTCTTTCTTTTTTGTAAGTTGTAATATAATTTGCTGAAATGATATGTTCAGGATTAAGATTAGACAAGTTTCAGAAATAATTGTCAACTAGAAATAAGAACTTACCCAGTTATGCACACAGATATGTATGTATAGGTAAATTTTATGTTTATGCTGGAGGTAAGTGCGTATATAACTTGTTCCTAATGTTAATGAAAAATTAAGGCAAATGATAATGTTTAAACTACATGTATATAAAGCAGTGGCGTAGCAAAACATTTTAGGAGTGTATGCTTTCAAGAGAGGATCCAAGGGCGAAGCCCCGGTTAAGGGGGTCTAGGGGCGCAGTAAGGTTAAAAAAAAGTAGGGCAAATATATCTCAATGGAATTCGAGTGTATGTTTAAGCATACAAGCATACATTATTGCTACGCCTCTGTAAAGTTTCAAAATGTCAAACTGATAACCAGAGACAAGAGGAGGGGTGGTTTGTCAGTTCGAACCCGTTTGTCGGGTGCTGGAAGGTCGTAATAGCAGACACTGAACCATATAAATAAGTAAAGAAAATAAAGAAAAACACACGTGTCGTCGATATTAATCTGAATACAATTCTAAAAATTCAAACTGATTTACACATCTTTTTAAATATCATGAAATAGTATTTTTGGGAATCTGGACCGAATATGATCATCAGAAACACTACGTTAACC